AGTGAAAATATAAGGAAAGGAGGGGGAGGAGGGGAGAGGGGGGGGAAGGGAGGGGGGGGGGGGGGGGGGGAGGGGGAGAGGGAGAAAGGGGGGGAGAGGGGGGGGGGGGGGGGAGGGAGCCAGGGAGGGAGAGAGGGAGCGAGGGAGGGAGGAAGAGAGGGAGAGAGGGAGAGAGGGAGCCAGGGAGGGAGAGAGGGAGCGAGGCAGGGAGGGAGGGCAAACAATCCAACATAAATCCAAAATGTAAATATGCAGATCAGTCAGTGAACACATAAAAATATAAAGATAAAAGATAATCGAAAAACATGATTCTTCCTTCTGTTTGAGGTTTGAACTGTTAGTCTGGCAAAAGTTAAAGCCATTGTAACTCCCAAGTAGCTCCCAATGTGGGGCAAGACAAGAGTAAATACTGACTTGGAATTGTTGGGAATTGACATTTTAGAAAACTTCTTTACATCAAAAATTTTTACTGACTCCACCGAAATGGTTTTTCAGGGTGACTGAAAGGATGAAGGTATTGATAATCTGCGCTATGCTATTCATTGATTTTGTGAGTAATCCTTGTACTTTTTATATGATTAAAGAAATACCCTCAAATTAGTTTATGGAGTTTTTAATAAAGAAAACTCACAGTATGAATAACATTAATCTTATTAGAGCACTGAGCAAAATGACCAGTTTGGAGACTTCAGCTTATCCAGGATTACATGTTTAGCACACATGCCATGCTGAGGCATGCTACCCTGATACGGATCTGGGAACGGAAAAAATAAAGTGCACAGACTAGGCCGAGGTGAACCTATCATCTGTGGAACGCAATCCAGTGGAAAAGACAGGAGTGCAGCCCTGACACCTCTGAGAACTGAGTGTGTGAGCTCTCATCACGGCTCTCTGTGCTCTACAGGTGAGCAGCTTCTAGGGGTGACAGCCAGTCTTTCCCCCAAAGGGAGGGAGAACAGCAGGCAAACAAACAGACTATAACGCAATAAAAATACAATGTGGGGCAGGTTACATAAATGTTAAATGTATTACTATAGGCGATCAGAGGAAAAGGGGAAACTGGTTAAAGAAAATAATACTTGAGTTGGGACTTGGGGTTAACAAGTTTGTCAGACAGTGAAGAAGCTTGCAAAAGTAAAGGCACAGAGGTGTAAGTAATGTAGGTCTGCCAGAAATAGGTAAGTTATGGCAATTTTCGACCTTACTAGGAAAGGAAAGACCAAATCATTTAGGGGACCTATCACCTATACAAATATATATTACTGCATTATTGCATTCAGAACCGTCCTCACGCTGGAGAGACAACAGAGACCACACAGGGCAGAACCAGCCTTGGTGTCTCACACATTTGTGAAGAGGCAGATTTTTGTAAAATGGTATAAAGGCAAATTCAAGGTACTTGGGACCTGTGGACAGGTCAGGACTGCCCTGAATGAGCTTTGACCAACGAGCTAAAGGTAACACAGAGGAAGGGAAGACATGGCTCCAGTGGGGGTAAAGGCTCCAGAAAAGCAAATTGGAACTCTGGAAGAAAGGGATTAAGTCAGTGAGTGGCAGTTTGAGCACAGGAAGGAAAAAGTGATAAAAGCCAAGGATGGGCAGCCCCTGGGGTCTTAGCATTTACCTGGGGACCCTGAGGGCATCCTAAAGGGCCACCTGCAGAGCTGCACAAGATCAGACCTGTGAGTTTTAAGGATAGCCTAACTGCAGTATGGACAGAAGGTAGCCCACTGGTCACCTAGCTGGCCACCGGCTGGGGTTGGTCCAGGTGAGGTGAGAGCACAGACTGGCTGGGGGCTTCAGAGAAAGTGACTGCCATCATGTGACCCTCAAAAGATATGTTCAAAGAGTGTTAGCATGAAGACGGGGACAGAAGATGGGCCTTTTTATCAAGGACAGATACTAATAGCTAAGCACTTCCCAAAGAGTGAATAATAACATTCCATTAGCACCATCACGACTTCCTCTGGCCACATTATCATCTCACTACCCCGTCCCAGCACTCATTCCATTAGTGTTCTTGGGAGCCTGCAAATGGCTCCTGGTTTGTGGCTGTACAGTTAAATAAACAAAGTGAAAGGTAGATGACAACTACAGAAAGATCATTTGTGGGGACTGAGGAGATGGTTCAGTGGTCAACGTACCTGCCATCCAAGTGTGAGGGCTGGACTTTGGATTCCCAGAACCCACAGAAATGCCAGGTAGGCACTGTGGCCATCTGTAATTCTAGCCTCAGAAGGCAGAGACAGAGGATCCCTAGAGCAAACTGACAAGCAAGACCAGCCAGATTAGAGAGCTCTGGGTTTGAGTGAGAGACCTGACCTTAGTGAAGAAGGTGGAAGAATGATCAAGGATGATTCCTGACATCAACCTTGGACATATACATGCACCCACACGTGCACTCACACTCATACAAATATACAAATGCACCTACACGCATGCAAGCACATTGAAATGGAAAATGAAGAAAATACATTTGCAACCTTTGAATTACATATGGCATTAATATCCTTAAAGAGCTCTTACAGGATGGGTGACATGGTACATGCCTGTAATTCTAGTACCTGGGAGACTGAAGCAAGAGGATCTCAAGTTTGAGGCTAGCCTGGAGTTGGACAACTTAGGGAGACTGAGCCTTTAACAGCTGTGCCAGCTCGCCAGTCCAAGAGACTCTGTTTCAAAAAAGGAAGGGGAGAGGAAAAAAAAAAGTTTAAAGATGTAGCTCATATAGCTAAGTGGTAGGGCACTTGCATAGCAAAGTGTGTCATTCCCCCCCCCCACATACACACAGAGGAGCTCTTACAAGTTCACACAACTATAAACATCAAATCAGAATCTGAAGTAACAAATATGCATATTATTAGGTTGTTCATTGCACTTTATAACTAACAGTATCAGATGCAATCTAAATAAATCCCATCGATAAATTAAGAACAGAGATACTAAGGTGACCTGTACTGGGCGTGCTACTTAATCTAGCAGACCCTCAGCTTCTTTTTTATAACATAAAGACAACTATGCCAAGTCATCACAGGACAGCTATCTCAGTGCTGCTGCCCTTCAGGTTTGGGAGCTGGCAATCCTTTATGAAGGGGATGCTCTATGCACTGTAGGATGTGTAGGGTCATCCTTAGCCTCTATCCATCATATGCCAGGAGCACCCCACCTCTTATCAGTAATGACAACCAAAACTCTGCACACATCCCCAGATGTCCCTGGGAAGAAAACTACCCTGTTGGAGAACATCTGAAATAGAATGACATATGTGAAAACATTTAAAAAGGAATAACACCCTGAATCAATTTAAGTCAGCATTAATAGAAATCCATTTGTAAGACTATTTGTCAAAAAAAGAAGAAACATTTAAGAAATTTATAATTTCTTTAGGAATGTTTTATTTGCTATTTTTATATATTTTTCCTACCATTAAAAGCCCTTCAGGGCTTTTTGGTTAATTTTTGTTACTCAAGTGCCGTATCTTCATTACAGCATATTTTTTTTAATGTATCACTATGCTAACATGACAGTCAAGTCAAATATAATTGTAATCTCTACAAAGCAGAAATTTTATTTTCTTTGTCCAAAATCACAGTGCTTGTTGCCTACCTTTTAAGGACAAGGGACTGGATCTTGTGAATTCTGTATTTGATGGCCTGTGCTGTTTATAAACTTCCAAGTACTCCTTAACTCTTGAATCAATGGTTTCTTTTAACAGCAAACAGACTTCCTAAGTAAAAAAAAAAAATGGATATAACATTCTAGTTTAATGCAATGCAAAAAAGAAAAGATTGCACACACAAAGAAGCTAAAGTTGGCATTTGGTTTGCGCACAGCTGTGAATGCTACAGGAACATCGCATGTGCTCCTGGACAGCATCGTGTCTAGATGCGCTATCAAAGACCCTTCCAAGTCATGATGTTTACACAGTTCACTTTTCTCTTCTTCAGTTTCACAACTCAAAAAGGAAGATTTAAAACCTTACTTCAAAATTGGGGTGCTCTGTGAAATCAAGAACACTTTTTACATAAATATCAGCCCACTGCACTATGAGAGACAGAAGAGACAGGCCAAATGGAGTCTGCCTGTAGCATGAGGTCCTGGGGAGTGCTCAGAGTGGCAGGCAGGGTACTGCAGGGAGGGAAGGAGCCAGGAGTAAGACACACTGACTGCCAGAGTGGGTGGCACCAGGGCCGGGCCACAAGCAGCAACGTGCTGGGCTTGCTGGCTCACTGCACTATCATCCTGCTACAGGTACAATGTTGCCAGGTGCCTCATTTGTTCAAGAGAAGCCAGAAACAGTGAAAATTTTCAAGTTTTCAAGTGTGGTTCAAATTTGTTTTTTATGTTTTCTTTTATTTTATAATGCTGGGGATTGAATCCAGGACCTGGAACCCGCTGGGCAAGAGCTCTACCTCCGAGCTACAGCACCAGTCCAGTCCTTCATCGTTCATTAGTTTCTGACCTAAAGTTTACTAACACAAAAGAAACAGTGTTGAGTGGTGGGTTAAACAGACAGTGGAATGGGTAATCTAATCTTCCCACTCTTGTTGATAAAGCTGTTGTACACACCCATTTGCCTTTTATTAAATCACACTATAATTCATCTATTAATGATAAAAAAAGACTTCTCATTTCTCTGGAGTTAATGTTTTTTAAGTAACGGAAACAGGTATGAATTAAATTTCAGCATATCATACCACTCATAAATTTCTGGAGATATCAGTTGGTTTATGTACTTGTAATAGTTGTAATAAAGAAAATATGAAACTCAAAAGTCCAACTGCACACTGGGAAGACACTTTGCATAGTAGTTCCTGGTTACCAGGAAAATGTAATCTACTATAGGAAAGCAGGGGAAGCTACATGCAAAACTGATACCTAAGGACTGATAAATCCTGGATCAATTCCCAACGACTCTGCAGCAGGCTCAGCGCTGTTCAGGTCACCTCAAACCTGTTTCACTGGTTTCTTGCAAAGCCATCACAGGTTAATCTTTTAAAATCCATAATTACAACATGAACAAAGTTTTAAGCTGCTCTGGGGTAACCACAGTGAATTACTTTACTGTAAATATTTGTACCCCTTAGACAGTATTATAAAACCCTTGATTTAATACATAAATAGAAGTTTCTAGATAAAATACAAATACCAGTCTCCTCTCTCCTGCTTTTCATTTTCAGCCCAAAGATGCAGTGCTTTGTGGAATATAAAGATACCCATTTACAGTTGAGTGTTTTGGCCTTGTTCACACAACAGAAAGGCAGCCTTGCCTCATACTGTTGTTTTAACAATTAGATAATTTTGCTTCTCATAGCTCAACTATGACTGAGCTAGAAAATATGTGGAAGACATACATGGCAACAAGGATTGTTAAAATTTAGCCATAAATACCCTATAAGGCTAGAACTAAAAATAGTATGATAAAAATAGAGCCCATACACATGGTGTTTCTCCCTATAGTGTAGACATTCCTTCTGTGAATCGTGTTTCACGAATGAAAGATGGACAACATAAGTGTGGCCAAGGCACCTAAGAGCTGCTTGTGCCACATCTAGTGAGGCATCCTCTTCAGACCCAGCACTGTGCAGGAGAAGGAAAAAAGCCAGCAGCATCTGAGGGACAGATGACAGGACCAAGCTGAAATCAACGAGTGAGTAAGAGGTGTGTGTAGCTTCTCCGGGGTAACAGGGGCTTATGTTTGCTTCCTTCAGTTTACAGATGGGACAATTTGAGTCGTCTGCTTGGGCACAAAGATCACTTAAACTGAACTCAAAAGAAACATGTTCAATATATGTAATTAACTCTTTCTTTTGAAAATGTAACGATATACTTAGACATTCACCATATAAAGTGACTATTAAAATGCAATCAACCTGGTTGTCCATGAAATTCCAATCATGAGATGTTCTAATGATTAAAAAAAAAGAAAGCATTGACACTGAGCATATGCAAATATCAACACTAACCATCTACAGCTAAAGTCATAAAATTTCTTCAATTCTCCTTTCTTAAGCAACACGTAAATTATCCCAGAGTAATTTTAACATGAGTCAACACATATTTTTAAGGAACAACTTAGAGCAGAGCTAGTAAACCATCTACTTTGCTTCATGAGGAAAGCTCAGCTTGCTGGAGTGGCTAGACCTCTTCTGGCCAGCATTGAAGCATCTCTCTGCAGGTCCCATCATGCATCCTGTGTCTTGGCTAAGTCATGCTTCATTGCCCTGGAGAAAGCAGTAGTTGGACGCTGTAACTGCATATGGCACATTGAGAAAAAAAATGCTAGCTTCATGCTTTGTCAAGGAGGTGACTCACATACCAGTGGTTCTAGAACATTTCACATTAACTGTCCCATGCGTACTAAAGTTCCACAGCCAAAGTGGTAAAGTTGTGAGAGAATATAGGAAAATCAGGGCCTGGAATGGTGGATTTTAAAGACATCAGAAGCTTTTGGGCTAAGATCCCTCCCTTCTAAGAAATATTAGTCACTTTGGGGGCAATGAATAAAATGATTTGCAAGTTACTCTGGGATAAATTGTGTGTATGTCTAACACATGCAGACATGTGTTAGTGACCTAAAGATTCGGAGTATAAGTAGGTAAGTGGTGGAGGGAGGGGCTGGTCCATTTCCTGACTGAAGAATTCATCATAGTGAGCCTTGTGCCCTCTCTCAGCTTCACGTCATTAGGTGTCCTTGGCAAGCTAATGACAGCAAAATACTGGCAGTGTTACTGTCTGAATGAAATGTATTTTTTAAAATCATGTGTGGGTGGGTAGGTGAGTTTTAGTGATGTCCGAAACTTAGGCAAAATTTATCACAAAATAGATTTTTCACTCTGCCATCATGAGTTTCATTACTATATAATATTACTACTTAATAAAATTTACTTTTATTCACTTCTCTAAAAGTAATGGCAGCAAATAAATACCATGAAGGAAAGAAAGTACAGTATGTTCTAGGTTTTTTTTAATTATATTTTTTATTTATTCATTTATTTATGGTGTGGATTTGTAGGTGTGTGTGCACACGTGGAGGTCAGGACAACCTGAAGGAGTCAGTTCTCTCCTTCCACCATGTGGGTCTGGGGATTGAACTCAAATCATAATGATGGCCAGCAAACACCTTTACTCTCTGAGCCCTGCCTCACTACCTACCCTGATTTCCAGAGAAGGAAACAAAGAACAGAATGAGAACCAAACCACCACAGTAGCCCACAGCAAGAGTGTAGAAAACCACAGGAGACTGAGGCCTTATCTGGACAAACTTGCAGACTGCAGAGGCTAAATCTTTCCTGGAGGTTAAATATCACATAATCAATCCTTGAAAAACATGCAGGTTAGGAGCACTGGCTTCCTGCACACTTGGAAATCTGAGGATAGCTTGCGACTTCCCTATAACTTAACTGCTAGTACTCTTTTTTAAAAGATTTATTTCATTTTTCTTCATGTGTATGTGTGTCTGTGTGAGTATATGCCATGTGTATATAGGAGCCTGTAGGTCAGAAGAGGGTGCTGCATCCCCTGGAGCTGGAGTTACAGGCAGTTAAGAGTTGCCTGACATGAGCGTTGGGAACCAAATTTGGGTCCTCTGCCAGAGCGGCAAGTACTCTTTCCGCCATGCCATCTCTTCAGCTCCATAATAGCCTAGTATTTATTTACTAGAAAGCCTTACCAATGGAAAATTGTCAAATGATGTATTTTCTTATATTAGATGTGTTATATATGGTATATATGGTTATATACTCAAGAACTGTAAGATATCATCTTTTACTCTGACAGGCAGTTTATTAGAATGACACTGCTCACATGACAATGACCAACTCAAATAGTCCTCATAACTCAGAGCTCATTGTAACATCCAACAGAGGCCTATGAGTCTATATGCAGCAAATTTTGGTAGTAAATGGTAAAACAGATTACTATATTTTTTTCTTAAAGTTTTCAATATTTTTAAGCTATGAAGTTCACCTGAGAGTTTTTCAAATCGTCACATACCTCCTAAAATTTCATTGATGAGTAGACCTACATAGTCCAAATCTGTGTTGTTCAAAGCCAGTTACACATCCATCTCAAGAGTCTGCTTGCTAGCTGGCCAACAGGAGAACCAGTTAAGTATTTCTTCACTTGTCAAAGGCTCATAACAATGAAGGGTGGTAGATTAAGGTTGAGGCAGATGTGAAGATTAGCCTTGCATGAACCTCCACACCTGCTCCAGGTGCAGTCATCCTTCCCACGACTCAGATCAAAAATCCCTGCTTACTTACAACAGTTTAGCTTCTTTTTCTTCCTTTTTTGAAACACAGAAAATCACTTTTCCCAAAACAAAGAGACATGGAATTTCTGTTTATAATAATAGTGTCAGGGATGAGGAAAGAGCCTTGGCATTGCCTAGGTAACATGTAAAGACCCTGGATTCAACCCTTAACACTCATGCACACACAAAAACAATCAAGTCAACAACAGATTAGCATATGAAACACATGGGTGTGTAAGTTTCTAAAGGGAAGGTATGAGTATATATGAGTTTGTCATTTTCCCACTACTGAAAATGAGGGCTGGGGAGGAGCAGCATTTCTTCTAGCAGCTACCTTGAAAGCCTGTGCTTAAAGAAGAAAACATTCTATTGTACCTCTTTCTTCTGTTCAGAAAACCAGCTGGTATCCTTGTTTGAACCTTGTGACAATATATGAAGATCCACGAGCACAGCAAAATTCCCACACTGAAAGAGAAGGGGTGAATGTTTATTAACAAGAGAGGTGGTGTCTGTACAGTTCATGCCCCACGAAAAAACTAGAGTGAATAAGCTTCATGCATGAGAAAATGGCGACAAACCACTACTAGACAGATACCTCAGCCTGGAACAGGGCTGCAGGCAAAAGCCTACTAGTGTCCACAAGTATAACAGTTACAGTGGAAATGCTAAGATACGTGGAGTTAACCAGGATGGAAATGACAAAGCATCTATCTCTGGTCCACACCTCCGAAGGGGAATGGCCAGACAGCTCAGGGGCAGTTGGAAGACTGCCCTACGTTAAGAAAACAGCTATAAGCTTGAGGAAAGAGCAATTCTGTGCAGAGCCAGGGGACATCTTTCTTCTCAGTAGGAAAGACTCTGTATAAGCCATTGCCTTTTGGACAAAGGATTGCCTGGACCAAACAGCTTGGAATAGATTGCAGGGATACAGAGCCTATGAAAAGCAACAGCTAGGCTGGGTGGATGGCTCAGGGGTTATGTAAGCATGAAGACCTTTGCTGGCACATGCCTGTAGCTCCAAGGCTGCCAGGACAGAGACAGGCATATCCCAAGAGTTTGCTGGTCAGTCAGTCTAGCCAAAACAGCTAGGTTCATTGGGAGATCCTGTCTCAAAAAATTAAATGAAAGAGATGGAGGAAGACACCCAGTGTCAACCTCTGGCCTTTACATGTGCATGCAGGGGAACAATGTACTTTGTGCGGGGGGGGGGGGGGGGGGGGGGGGAGGCAGGGTAAAACTCAGAAAGAGAGAGAGAGAGAGAGAGAGAGAGAAACCAAGATCATGGGGTGGGGGTATCTAAGAGACCCAAAGTTTCAGTTTATAGACTGTTAAGACAAATTACTTTTATACCTCTCTGACTAAGCAGGTCTTTAACTTTGTTTTTTTCAAATTTTGTGAAAAACATGATGAAAGTAGTTTCAAGTGTTAGAACAGCAGATATAAATATAAAAATGAAATGAAACTCAATTGATACCTGCCTTATGATCATATACAAATTTTGAGATGGATTACACACCTAGGTATGAAAAACCAAATCTACCTTCTCACCAGGGGCAGTAAAAGATTTCTTACATATGCTCCCAGAATCAAGAAACACTGAAGGAAAAATTCCTGATTAAATTGGATATGATCAAAAGTAGAAACTTCCGTTCATCAGCAAATAACCATTAGTGAAATGGAGTATATGTCCCACAGACTGGAAAAATGTATTCACAAAAGTATTCTAACATGTCTGACACAAAGGATAAGTACCCAAAATATGTAAAGAACTCCCACATGTTGATTTTTTTTTTTAATGGGCTGAAGGGGCTGAAGAGATTCAGCAGTTAAGAGTACTGGCTGTTCTTCAGCAGACCCCAATTCTATCCAAAGGAATACTGACAATGGATTGCCATAGATGAGGAACAGCTGATCCTCCTGGAACAGGGACCTCTGGCTGACTAGATTTACCAGAA